AAGAAAGAGATAAAAAAGTGAAAGAAAAAATCTTTTTCCCGTGCTGGTATATGCACAGACTGCTCAAACGATCAAAACACCACTCGAAGCATCAAACACAAGGAATTGCTCGAGCAACCAACTCAAGGCTCTAGCGCACAATGACCCCCTCCTAGTAGTTCAAACCTGCAAAGAGACTACTCGAGTGTCAGACATAGAATACCGCACAAGCGACTAACACACGGCTCGAGCGAAGAACACCCTACTCCCAGAAGTTCAGATTGCAAACACAAACACTGGAAAGAACCAAAGACTACGTGAGTGAACCTGAAGAGAATCGAGTAGAAACTCTTTTGAAAAACTAACTTCTAACTTGTTCAAAACACAACCAACAACTCCAAACTACAAATCTTATAATTCAACAAGACAACAAGGAGTATAAACCACAACTATGAGTACCGGATCCCCTACCAAAAAATACGAAGGGTTGGGTTTTAACCCAAATCACTATAGTCCAATTTTTTGGACCGCTTGAGCGGTCAAGTGTGCGTTCGAGCGTTGTTTTCGGATCATCTAGTATCTCAGTCTGACTTCAGAGATACTGGGAGTTGTGTTTTACCGCTCGAGCGGCAAGTCTTGCGCTCGGGTGAAGTGATGCGTGGAAATTTGTTAGTACTGCCTTACTAGTCTTACCGCTTGAATGGTCATTCTTGCACTCAAGCGGTCTTCGCATCCTTGTTCGTTATAAAGTGCTGCGGTTGCACGTTTTTGGTTTTAACCCAATCCATAATTCTCAATGAGGTGATAAGTTAAATTGTTCTATATTGGAGGGTATTTTATATATTAGTTTCTTTGATAAATTGAGGGTGATCGATGGATCAACTAGCTTCATATTGACCATCATCAAAGGGTTTCTTTCATTTAATACAAATTCAAAGAGAGATATTCATTGGTGAATTCTGGGGAACTTGAGCATGAAACTTTGGTGAATTCTGAAGTGATTCATTGTTATGGATTCAACATCGGCGTTGTTGATTCAACATTGAACAAAACAATTCTGAGGTAAAGACGGTGGTGGAAAAGACATGTTGGGTTCGATTCAATTTAGGCCTGGATTTACTAGGTAACTGAGAGTTCTCGTGTGTAATTCCTTTGTCTTCTTAGTGAATTATTTTGTGACTTTGACTTGTGATTTTTTATTACAATTGGAGGTACTCCAATTGTGATTTTTTTTCTCCATATTATATCATTGTGTTGATTTGTAATTGTTTTGTTTGTAAATATAATTCAATTCTCGTTTAAAGATCTATAATTGTTTGATTGTGAATTGTTATTCATTGTTAAAATTGAATCCTAATTGCAAATCACTATCTCTGGTTGTTAAGGTTTTTCACAATCTATTACTGAGCTCGATAACTAATATATATCATAAAAAAATAAAACTACTCAGGCTTCATTCGTGTTCCGGACCGACCATGAGTTTTTTGAAACCCAAAGTGAAGTTTTAAAATATATGGAACCTTTTAGGCATAAGGAAAATGCTACCTACCCAAAAATTTTAAAAAAATATTAAAGATTCACAATTTAGATTTCACTATTTACCTACAATAATATGGCAAGAGAGTAGAACTTTATATAATTGAGTCTATAACAATCAAAACTGACACTTAGCATGCTATGTGATTGGCAGTCAAATTGTGGGAGCCTTCTTAAGAGGCACAAACATTTTTAAAATTGTTATTAGTACTCTAAAAGTAAGGTTAAATCTAAAATTACTCTAATATAGGTCACACTCAAAATAAATATGATTCACAATATTTATTATTTTTTTTTTGGACATGTAATATTTTTTTGTACATAACCATACAAAATAAGTTTATAATTAAAATGATAAATACATACATTTTTCTTATGAGTAAAGCTACCGACAATCATAACATTAAGCAGCACTTAAAGACAAAAAATTATAATTCCAATTTATATTTTCACTATTCTTTAAACACTTTTATTAAATTTAATACATTTTGTCTTTAGCATTTTCTTTTTTCTTTCTTTTGTTTTTTTAATTTTTTTAATCTTTTTAATTTTTATTTTTTTTAATTCTTTAGGACGAAACATCACACTATATTAAACAGAAGATTTAATTACATCAATTGCCAGTACATGCGCTGGTTGGATTACACTTCTGTCTACCTTAATAATACAAACATAATCAAAAAGCTAACTGTAATGTTTAATATCATTAATAATAGTAGCTATCTGTTTGTTCCTGGAGCATTCGAACCAAAACTTGACAATCAGTTTGAATAGTAATACATTTGAACCCATTGTCTTGTGCCCAACAAATAGCTGCCAAACATGCCTTCGCTTCAGCCGCTAGTGGACTCTGAAGAGGATTCACTGCAACTGCATTTTGATATTTTGTTTGATTCCTATTGTCTATGCAAAGCCAAGCGATCCCTGCATCAATGTAAGGCGATTTCCATGCCCCATCGATGATAATCTTCAAGGATTGAGAATCTCCAGTGTGATCCTGTGTTTGCTGCAAAATACACATAGCTTGTTGTTTACTCCCATTATCAACATTATTGTCATTATGCACAAATGGAGTCTGACATTCATTAGAAATAGCCAACATGAAAAATTCCTTGCTTCCTCAATTGTTTCATCAATAGTCTTAGGATGATGAGTAAATACAAAGTTATTCCTTTGTAACCATAAAACCCAAGGAATAGCCACTGATTCAAGAATAACTTGTTCATCCTTAACCTAATCCACCCAATCCTTGAACCACCTAAAAAAAAGATATAGGAGATCCTATGCTAAAATCAAGTCCCAACATGGAACCCCTCCATACCTGTTGCGAAAAATAACAATCGAAAAACACATGTTCAAGGGTTTCATTGTTCTTATTACAATGAGCAGACACCATATCAACTTCCATTCCTCGCCTTCTTAACCCCCTCTGTACTAGAAGGATTCTATGGAGACACTTCCAAATAAATAAAAGCCCATTTAGAAGGAAACCTTAATTGCCACAACTTTTTCCACATCAATTGATCAGGATCTGTTTGTCCAAACATCGAATAATATCTAATCAAGGCTTGTTTGTACCCAGACTTGACCGAATACACCAAATTACTTTATCCTCACAGGGATGTGTCGGAATATGAATTGCGAGAATGTATTTAATGCAATCTTCAAGGAAAAAAAGTCTAAGCAGAGATTCTCTCCAACATTTCTGCTCATTATTTATAAAGTGCTCTACTCTCATACTAGGTGACAACCTATTCAGATCCTTCCCCTTCAATGGATTAGATACCACCGGTATCCATTGGTCCTCAAAAGGAAAAATCTGTTTACCATTCCCCACCACCCAATGGATGACCGAATTAAGGAGATCCCCACCTCACAAAAGACTACTCCATCCCCACGAAGCATTGTTGGCCTTCTTAACAAGCAAGAAAGATTGACTAGGGCAATATTTTCCTAACCGGACTTGAGACAGCAACATATTCGGATTTGACAGCAGTCACCATGCCTGTTTAGCTAGTAAAGCTTGGTTAAAACACCTAAGGTCTCTAAACCCCAATCCACCCCATTCTTTTCGTAGACACAAAATGGAAAAAGAGACCGTTGAAATGCATTGTGAAACCAGCTGCACCCATTTTTGTGGAATCCACATTTTATCCATAATTGCAACCAAAAAATCCCAACTAACCCTATCATAAGTTTTGTTCATGTGCAATTTCAATCCAAAAACAGCTTTCCTTCCAATCCTTTTTTTTAGTCGCAACCCAACCCATACAAAGTATCTTTGCATATGAATTTTTTAAAAAAAAATTACTTACATGAATAAAAACACGAAGACAATAACAAAAAATATATATATATCAAGATTTGGTCACGTTACTTTATAATTAGACAAAATATAATTTATAAAAGTAAATAGCCAGTTAAAAAAATATATTAAATAAAATATAAAGTCATAATACTAAATAAAAATTAATCTAAATATAGCAAAAAAAATTCTCAGATTGTTATATGCATAATTACTAATTAAGTTTGCATAATTTATAATTATTATTATTTTTTATTTTGAATTATGAATTATGAATTTAGATTAGTTGGACTGATCCTTTATTTATTTATTTTTAGCATATTAGTACAATAAGAACTTATTTTTAGCATATTAGTACAATAAGAAGTAGGAATTCCTTAAATTTGATTCAACTTTGGAAGCCTAGTCTTCTGGTTGACCTGCTTGTTTTCAACTCATTGAAAGCTCATTATATAAACAAGTTAGATCTAAACACAATTTAAATTTTAGGTTTTCAAGCCAAGTTTTAACAAATTATTAGTAGATTTTTTTTTTACAGTCCTAATTAATAAAAGATAATTAAATTTTTAATTTAAAAGAATTTTTTTTTTAAGATCCCAAATATTAAAGTTTTATAAGATAAATGATATACAATATTTTCATAGTAGTTAAGATCTCTCAACATTTTTATAGAGAATTTTTTCCGACTCAGATAAATTTCACTCAAATTTAGGTAAATTTAAATTTTCACAGAGAAATTTCTCTGATTTCACAGAGAAATTTTTCTAAGTTTGACAAAAATTTTCTTAATCGAATTACCTATGTGAAAATATTCAGAGATATTAACTAACAAAAAAAATCTTAAACCTCTTAGTTGGAGGGAATATTTTATTAATTTTTCATAATTTAAAATCATTAATTAATTTTCCCATCAATATAAGAAATAAAATTAAACTTTAAAGAAAAAAAAAAAAAGAGAGAGAGAGAGAGACATCATAATCATGATGACCGCAGAGAGAGCGAATCAAAGGCAGCCCAACCGGAGAGACCGGTTACGCGGCAAGATGTGAATTGACAAAACTGCCCATGGTAGCTAGCCGTTGCCCTGACGTCACCCAACCTCAAAAAGCGAGGCTCGGTAAATCCGAGGCTATGAAGACCTATAAATATTCAATTTCCTATATTCTATTTTACGAGACACTCATACCATACCAGCAGCTCTTTTTTTGTTAAAAAAAAAAAAACAAAAAGAAAAAGACAAAAGACAAAAGACAAAAACGCGGAAGGAGAGGGAGAGAGAGTTTATTCGGTCGGCCACCAAACACGCGATTTCAATTCCACTTTCTTCTTGTTCTTCGAGGTATTTCAATCCCTACCTAATCTCTCGAAAATGTTGTGAATTTTCATTTGATTTTATCGATCCAGTCGATGTTGATGAACGAGCGTGATCGGCTGATTTCTAGAGTTTTGTTGTAATTAGTTTTCTTATAAATTTGCTTTTTCGGGTGATTAGGATTTGTTTGCGATGGATGACCACTTGGTAGTGCATGTGGAGGAGGATGGAAAGGCAGTGGTGACGGTGGTGGAGGAGGAAAGTAGTGAGCGTTCGAATGAGGATCAGCCGCTGATAAGGGTGTCGGAATGCCGGATTTGCCAGGAGGAGGATTCGGTCAATAATTTGGAGACGCCTTGTGCTTGTAGGGGCAGCTTAAAGGTAATTTTTTGTTTGTTCTAATTTTTTTTTGTGCTGCTGTAACATATGAGATTTATTGTTAATATTAATAGCCTCATAAATATAAATTGTTGAATTTTTATTTTAGGGATTTATTTTACGTTTTGGGTTTTGAACATGCAAGTTAACACATTTGTGAGTTGTGATTATCACAAATGGCATACTCAATACTATGGGACTCATACAAAACATCATGTGAGATATAACTGATCAATACTCAGATCATAACTAAAATAATGTCATAACCAATGTCACAGTAAGTCATAATAGGAAGGTCGTAATCAAAGGTGCATATGGTACCATAGAATTTCCCTTGAAAGATATAATGTTTTACTTTAGTCATTGAAGGAATTTAGAAAACTAGTAGTGAGGAAAATTGATTAGCAGTTTTGAACGGCTTGATGAATGTGATAGTTACTAAGTGGGAAGGGGTGACAAGACAACTACTAGGTGAGATGGGCATTCTTGGAAAAGTAAAACATGTGATAGACTTCACAAAAACTCAGATGTATGCTTTATATAATAGAGTAGATTGTTTCTGTTTTTAAGTAAAAAAAATTCACTTTGGGTTTACAACTGTCAAATATGGAAGTGAAAAAAAAGAAAGAAACGGCATGTGAAGAATAAACAAGTCTTTGACTGAGATAGTGGTGTGTTGTTTTGAAGAACAAATGATAGTTTTTGAGCTTTGGATGGCGGGTTTATAGTGTTTAGGCTGGAGGCCTAGTTAAAGGTATGAGTTTTGAATGGCTTTGTTGTTTTGTAGTTGTTAGTAGTGTATTAGTCATAGGAGTTTACCCCTTTCTGTCAAGCACGATGGGGGACTTCTGGTGATTTTTTCTGTTATCAGCAAATTTGTTTGAGGGTAAGCCTCCTATGCTGCATTACACATATTGTTCTTTGCTTTTCAATGAATTATTTACCTACTAAAAGAAAAAGAAATGTCATGGGAAAATGGAGAAGGCAAATCAGTCCGGAAAACATGTTGGAAAATTGAGGTAACATTAATGGTTTGGAATTAAATGCTGAACTCACTATCGTTGCCAAAACAATTGTTAGAAAGGTCTTATTGGAAACTAGAAAATAAGCCGTGGGGGAAGATTTTAATGGGAATCCTTATGACTATAAAATATTAATAGTCCCCAAGATTTTGCAGAACTTTTCTCAGGTGTTTTCAAGATTTTAACGGTCATAATTTACCAAAGATCTGTCACTGCTCTGGGAACATGCTTAAAAACTGCATTTACCTCTAGGGGGATTAATTTTCCTGCTAATTATGCTCAAGACAATAGTTGTAAGTTGTAGCCATTTAGAGGGAAGGGGAGGTGAATCAGAAGTTCTATTCTTCTTCTGTTTTTGGGATGGACTCTAATTCATTTAGACTGCGTAGTCTCATATTGAAGAGCCTTACATCTTACTGCCAATAACATGTATTAATTGGATATGGTTGCAACAAATACATTGCTGGTAATGCCTTGGTCACATGCACCCACGGCGTAGTCTCATGCTTCAATAATTTTTATTTTTAAATTGATGGTTGCTTGTTTAAATGTTTTAATGTATACTTTTTTATGCAGTATGCTCACCGAACGTGTGTTCAACACTGGTGCAATGAGAAAGGAGACATAATTTGTGAGATCTGTCATAAGGTATGATTGTTGCAACCTACATATTGTTGTACTTATTCGTATGGTATTTTAGTATGGCAATATATGCTTGTTGAATTTGAACTGTGATAGCTGTACGTTATTTACATGCTAGTACAAATATGATCTCAATTGTGATGAAGGATTAAACTTTGAACTGTAAGCTTATGTTACTTCTATAGATTTTTGCAAACCAATTCTGATAGTGCCATTAATAGATTGAAAACATATTGGGGTAAATTTACGTTGTACGCCTGGTTAACATGCTTATTATTACAGAGGCATGATGTTATACAAAGTGGCTTGGTTTCATCATTTTTTTAATCTTGCATATTCAGACATGCCCTTAAGAAACTATGAGAAACTATTATACTTTAAACACGTACTAAAATATATAGGTTGTGGTCCGTTGGCACTTATCAGAAAGATAGGTTATTATAGCCTATTGACAATCATGACCATGGTATATCAGAAATCATTTTGCAACCTCTTTTGATTGCATATTTGTAATAACTTAACTCTTCACCCTTCATGCTTATCCAAAAAAAAAAAAAAAACTCTTCATACTTTGTGATCGTCCGTTTATATGCCCCTTAAGATATGCCAGCATGTATGGCAAATATTTTGCATTTGAAAAAGCATGTCAAATTGTTTTCTTGTATGTACGCAATGGTAAATATACTGCATTTAGTGTAACATTAATTTCTCTAGCAAGGATTTACAGCCTATTGGTTCTCTACTCCAAAATTAAAGAAAAATATTTATGGTAGCTACATGTAAGAACATTCATGCCTTTGCTTTGAGTTTTTCTTGGTTTCATTATGTATTTATGTTTGTAGTTGACCTAAAACCAATGAAAGTGTAGGTTGCGTGTGATATCTTACCCTCCAGATGTTAGAACACCTATGTATTCTGGAAACAATATGGCTGCAGCTTATTTGTTTTAAATATCACATTTGGTCATATCTGAGTATGGTTTCTGTATTTTAATGGTTTTTTTTTTACAACTTTTGTACAGCCTTACCAAGCCGGTTATACTGCTCCTCCACGCCCGCCTCCTCTTGAAGAGACTGCTATCGACATTGGGTAGGTTTTGTTTTTTTAATATGCTTTTGCTGTTTTTGTGCATTAGTCCCACGTTTTTTTTTTGGTTTGTTTTCTTTTGGATTTTAGGTGTATTTACTTTTTGATGTTTATGGAAATTACGTATGTGTGGATTTATCAATTAAATTTTCGGCATGATAAAAGACTGTCTAATGATGTTTTGGTTGTTGATTGTGTGTTGAAGTGGCGGATGGACAATAGCTGGCACCCCTCTGGATTTGAATGATCCTCGGCTTTTGGCAGTTGCTGATTCAGAGCGCCACCTTTTGGAGGGCGAGTATGATGACTATGCTGCTACAAATACCAGTGGAGCTGCTTTTTGCCGATCAGCTGCTCTAATTGTAAGCCCTCTTGATTATCAATTATGTAAAGTGTCAAACAGATTACCAAACATGTTTGGTTTCATTCTCAGAAAAAATTTCCATTTTTTTAAAAAATAAAAATAAAAATTAGTTTGACAAAAAAAAAAATTATCAAAAATCTATTTTAAGAATTTTAAAATTATTTCTTCCCTCCAAAAAGATAAAATTATATAAAAATGATAAGTGCTTTTGATTTTTTCATGAAACTAACTTTTAGATTTAAAAATAAATAAATTCTGAAATAAGTTTCTAAAAACTAAACCCAACATGGCAATTTCTCTCTCTCTATCTCTCTCTCACATACACACACCACACACAAACAGGTGGGATTTGATTCTGGGTCTATAATACGACCAGGACCCCAGGATAGTTTTTAATCTGACAGGCATATGTGCTATTAGTCAATTTTTTGTCATGAATGTGTCATTTCCAAATCTGGGAAAAAAGAAAATGATCTGTTGGTGTGCCGTAACTTTGCTTTCTAGAGAGGATAATTTTGTTATGTGATATACCAAATTTCCCTTAAAGTCACCTGCCTAGGTTTTGGATACATAAAACTTTTGCTATACCTTTATAATTAGTTACATATGCTATCGTCATCCAAAAGTTTGTCATTCTCTGAGCTTGTTTATCGGCTTGCTCATATGCTTTTGGCTTTAATTGGCAGTTAATGGCTCTTCTGCTCTTGAGACATGCATTGACTGTGACAGATGCTGATGGAGATGATGATCCATCTACCTTCTTCTCTGTAAGTGTGATGTGAAGTTCTGTTCTGATCTTTGCTCTATAGTGTACATGTCTGTGTGTTTGTTGTCTCCGGTAATTTTCTTGTTTTATTAAACGATGCATGCACTTGCAGCTTTTCTTGCTTCGGGCTGCTGGGTTTCTTTTACCCTGCTACATCATGGCCTGGGCCATCAGTATCTTGCAGCGTCGAAGACAGAGACAGGTTAGTATCTCCTTTTCTTTCTGCCATCCAGCAACATTGAACTACAAATTCTGTGTCTTTGAATTTTTCTTCCATCTAGTATTCTAATGTCAATGCGATCATATCTGTTACTTTTAATTGGTCTCATAATTTTTTTTTTTTCTTTTTTTGGGTGGTAAATGATGTTTTTTGTACATAAAATTGGAAGCTTAAAGTGTGTTGGAATTTTCTAAAACAGGAGGCTGCAGCAATGGCAGCAACACAATTTGCATTTGTGCTACAATCAGGACAAACCAGGGGTCTCCATTTCACAATAGCATCGGCATCCCCAGTGACCCCACAACACCAAGAAACTGTTTAATATAATATGCGCAACTACAAACTAGTTGGTTATTGTTGGCATTTGAGGAGGGTATTTTGACCTTTATCTTCTCTAGTGTTGTTGAAAAGCCAGGATTATGACTTGCTGCTACCTTTTTATTTTTGTTTTGGCTTTTGTGTATTTTTTTTTTTTTTAAATCTTTTTTCTGTATTTACACGTGTATACCAATGTTGCATCTCAGCATGAGTTGGTAGGTGAATCTGGTTCACATCTGTTGTCCTGTAAAAACATACACACCGATCTAAACATGTATTTTATATTTTTATAAATAAAATGACTCTGTAATTGTTCTATTTTTTATATTATTAGAGTAATCGTTGGCTTTACTTGATTTTTGGTGGTGTAAAATACCGCACAATTTGCTAAAATCATCCAATTTGCACCGATTTATCTGTTAACTCCAGATTAAATATTGTTATAGTTAATACATATATCAAAGTAAAAATGAGTGAAAGATATTTAAGATGTAAAATTTGTTTCAAATTAGTTTGTGTTATATATGTGAAAAATATTAAGTAAAATTACTTCGTATTATACATATGAAAAAGATTATGTAAATTAGGATTTGTTTGGAGATCTTTTTAGTAACCTTTAAACAATATACTAAGGTGATATTTGATAAAATTAAAAATTAAAAATTGAATGTTTGAATTTTTAAAGCTGAATTGAAGTGTTTAATTAAAATAAATTATTTGATATATATATGTATAATATTAAATTTGTAATTTATTTTTTTTAAATTTGACTTTTTTAATTTTATATAATAATAATGAGTTGGTAATTAATGGTGGTGGTGGTAGAAACAACAGTGGTGCCTATAGCGTCAATGACAATGGTAGTAGAGATAATGGTGATTGTTGTGGTTGTGATGATGACAATGGTGGCAATGATTGTGGAGGTGAAGAAGATGGCAATTGTGGTTGTGGTAGTGAAATAGTGGTGGTGCTTATAATAAGAATGACAATAGTGATGAAAGTAGTGGTTGTGGAGGGTAAGGGTGGTGATGGCGAGAGTTGTGAGGTCATAATGATGTATATTGATGCTTATATATAAATATTTATAAATTTAGTAAGAATTAATAAAATTTCATATCATTTAAAATTTTATTACTTTTTAAACTACATTCAAGATTAACTTAAATTTTTAAGTTATATCTTTTGTAGTTATCAAACAGAAAAATTGGTTAAATGTCCATTTTAAAGAGTGTACAGTGTTAGGTCCCAATGAGTATATATATATATATTGTGTGTGAGAAGTACACTTTTTGTAAAATATTGTGGTAAGAAATACATTTTGTTATATTGGAAGACATTTTCTTTTCAATTTTACTCTTTATCCTATTTGTTGAGATCATTTTTATTTGTTCAATTGTTTTGAACCTATCAGTTTAAATTTATATTTATCTGTTCAATTATTTTACCCTTATCTATTGACATTCAAACTTATTTTTTTTTGTATCTATTGAAATTCACTAAGCCTATTTCCTCTATTTGTTGAATTTCATAAGCCTATTTTTTCTTATCTATTTAATTTTTTATTTTTATTTGTTTAAATTGTGATATACTGACACACACATATATATAGAGGAGAGAAAGATTGATCTCTTCAAATTTTTTTATCTGTTTACTCTCAATTTTTTTTATCTGATTACTAATTGAAGAACGATCAGAACACAACCTATAATTCTATAATGAAATTGCAGCGAAGCAATAAGAGCACATCACAATACAATATTAGAGAGTAAGAGAGATAGAAATCTTCAATCGTTTATGCAGACGAGACTAAAAGGCCTCGAGGATCTTCTATTATTCTCTCCATTTCTTTCTCTTCTCCCTCTACTTCTCTCTAGAAATCTCTCTCTCTCTCTCTCTCTCTCTCTCTCTTACACAGGAACACAATGGAAGGATCCAGAAGGTCGAGTCATTTCCAACACTACTAGAGATTCTTCGATTGCTAAGCTTAAATCCCTCCGTGATGACATCGTCTCCGACACCGCGAAGTTCTACGACATCGCTTCACATTTCTCCAGCTCCAACTCAACCAAGCACAGCAACGATCTCAGTTAATACCCCCTCTCTCTCTCTGCCTCTCTCTATTGAATTTTGATTGAAATTTGGGTTGGGGATTGAAAATCCAGGCATCAGAGGAGTCATTGTACACACCCTATTTTAACTGGCTTCAAGACTTAGGCGCTTTCTTCTGAACAACCGATAATGAAAGTTGGAATGTACTATCTTATGAATTCCTCAACAAGAGAGCCGGGTTCAAACTTTAATCCCAACCTTACACCTGTTTTGGCTAAACTATTTTAGACCCACTTAATGTTTTGGTTGTGAGAGGGTGATTTATGATCTGGAGTTGGGCAGAGGTAGCGACCGAGCAGGTTGAGAGCCCAGCAGTGCATTGGGCCGAAATGATCGACTGTTCGCCCAGAGAAGGGCTGCCAGAACTTGGGCCGGGCAGAACTTGTTCCGAGTGCGTCCCGCCCCAGACCGTAAAGAAGCAGCTCGGTAAGGCAGTGCTCGGTCGGGCCAGGATGCTCGGTCCGAAGTTAGCCGAAACCAGACAAGCCGAGTGACCGGCGCCCGGAAAGGCGCGGTCGGCCGAGGTTACCATTTGACCAGCATGAAAGCTGGCCACGGGGTGCTTCGGACTAGGCGTTGCCGAGATGCCGCCGAGCCCGGTCCCCCCTTGGACTTTGCCAGGGAAGTGCTTGGGTATGAAGCACGGCACTGCGCAGCAACGCATAGTGCAGCTCGGCTGCCAAGCTCCAGCTGTGATGACAGGCAGTTGGGATTAGGTGATGATTGGCATGGTTTATGCTGACAGATGTGATAGCGGAGCCACGTGTCAGGAGCTGACTAGGAGTGGATGTGGGGCGCAGAGGGTATATACGCATGTCTGCGCCCCCCATACTGGACACACGAACATCGCTGTAAGGATTTCTTACACTCAAACACTCTCACCCTTCTCTCCATCCATCCTAAGGTGTATGCTAACTTGACCGTCGGAGGGTTTTTCCGGCCACACACCGCCGGGTAGCTCACCGTTACTTGCTCGCAGGTGATCGGACACCGTCGGAGCTCGGAAGAAAGGAATATGGGCTTGCCGGAATATTTGCTCCCCGTACAATTGGCGCCGTCTGTGGGAAGCTTGACAGACAAAACCTTGTCTTCCAGGTTCATCTGATCGCCGTCCATGGCGAACAACGATGAGTTTCCGTTGTCCGCCATCGACGGAGCCACCCCGGAGTATACCCGAAGGAGAGAGGGACCTCCTGCTGTCCACCCAATGGCTGACTTGGGAACGCCCACTGGCAGACAGTCTGGAGACGCGCGGGACAAGCGCGGACGAAGTCACGGACATTCAAGGAGTCCAGACGGTCACCGGCGGAGGAGAGATTCGCACGCTAGGCGACTGGAAAGCAAGTTGAGGGATCAAGATGCTGTCATCCGGCGAATGGCGGCGGAGATGAAAGATCTCAAGCGACATGTCAAAGGGAAGGGTGTAGTTGGAGTGGGAGACCACAGTGAGCACACCCCATCCCACCGTTCAGGCGGTCAGAGTCAGCGACGTACTCAGTCAATATCCATTACCAGAAGCTACCAGGTTGGTGATTCCGACGTGGGTGCCGGGAAGTCTAGCGCGCAAGACAGCACCTACAAACCCTCACGTCCGGAGACGACGTCGAGGTACTCTTACTCTGCTCAGTCAGAAGATTTACGGGCGGTCTTAAAGGAGCGGGCCCCCGCCGGCGTGAAGCCCAGAGAATACCAGTACAAGCGGAAAAAGTTGCCGAGGAGGTTCTTCCAGAGTCGTTCGAGGTCCCAACCCCTGCAGCTGCTAGTACTGAAGAGTCTTGATAACATCTTTTGTACTTTTCTCTTCTTTTTCTGCATTTTGTACTTTGTACTTTCTTTTAATTTCTAGATAATGAAAAACTCCTTCTTGTGGCCGATGTAACTTTTTCAATGTGTAACTGCAACTGCTCTTCTTATAGATGTTTTTTAATCTTGTGATGTTCTGTTGATTGTTTCTGCATAGTTCTATACTTAGAAATTTTTGTATGCTTCTTCATGTTGCATCCTTTATGCAATCTTGTTGGGGTTACATACCTCGGGTATAACTACAAAACTTTTACTTCAGCAAAATACTGATCTGCAATCTTGTAAATTGCTACAAATTTCAACAAGTGTTAACATATACTGTAGACTTTTTAAATAAATTTCAACGAGTGTTTAAACAATATACTTAGCCTTTACTTCAACTTTGTAAGTTTCTGTATACCTCGGCTGGTGACCATATGTCGGCTTAGCATAAACTTGTAAATTGCTAAAATTTCAACAAGTGTTAAGCATCTTCCTTAGGGTTTAAACAACCACCATATTGCTATGAGAACTGAAGCAATGACCTCGACTTAACTTCAACTTAACAAGTGAAGATAAGGAATCAGCTTAATTCCAACTTGTAAATTGCTACAAATTTCAACAAGCGAAGATAAGGAATCATCTCAGCTTATTCTTTGCCCCCAATGTGAACTTGAGTTTGACTTGGGTTCACATTAATTATGTCTTCAATAAATATCAATGCATAACTTTCTTAATCATGTGTGTTGAAAGAATTCTGAAAAGACTTTATTGATGATATCGGCCAAACA